TGAGGAGATGGACACCCTGATTCCCGTAGCAGCGCTGGATTTCAAATCCGCAGAGCCCGCCCCCCGGGGCCCGGGATTGGGACGCTCAGAAATTGCGTCAGCGAGCGTCTTCCACGGCCTCCCGGAAACCGACAGACGCGCCCACGCGCCGCCGGGACTCGGCTGCGTAGGGAGACCGAGTGTGACCCGGGACCCCGCGGCGGAGGCGGGGGGGGGGGGCGGCGGCTGGGGCGGGGTTTTTGTTTCTCCCCAAGGGGGGTGGGCTTGGCAGCCCCTGCCACTCCTCCCGTGATGCTCTGCGTAGCCAAGGTGGACGACGGTTGACGCCCGGAGCTCTCGCTGCGCGGCTGGAAGTTGACTAAGTTTGACCCTTCCCGGCCACCCTTGGGCGTCTCTCAGGCTGCGCTCGCAGTTTTGAGTAAGAATTGTCCCCAGGAAATAGACTGAAGATAAAGTTATATCCGCGTTTTAGCATTTAACTTGAATTATCCCGGCCGGAAGTGCAATTTTCTTTTGAAGCATCTAAACACCACGGTAGAGTAAAACACTTTTCTCAATGGACATCCGTTTGCAGTGCCTTTCATGGCCCCTAGAGGGCGCCTTACCTGTTGGTAGCACACGCCTGTGAGCCCATCGCTGGAAGGCTGAGGCAGGAGGATGGAGAATTGGAGGGCGGCCTGTAATACACAGTGAATCGCTGTCCTAATTTGGGGGTGGGGTGGGGGGCTCAGTAATTTAACATTAAGAGTAGGAGTGAGCCGGGACAATAATGTAGCTCCGTTCCCAGCTACTCCAGTGGCTTCTTTTTCTATCTTTAAAAGATTTATGTATATTGAAGGGACCAGCTCCCCATTTCGGCAGCCACCACAGTAACACGTGCTTGCCATAACCTTGCCTTGGTCACTTAGAGGTCAGATGCCTGCCTCGTAGCAAGGAACCAATCTGATGTTAGTGCTTGCCATAACCTTGCCTTGGTCACTTAGAGATCAGATGCCTGCCTCGTAGCAAGGAACCAATCTGATGTTAGCTGGTGGTGCTATGCTTTATGCCTCTGGGTGTGCTTTATGGACAAGTGCACAGCAATAACGCACAGAGCATAGCAACCACTCTAAGAGGGCCTATGGGCCATAACAACCAGTTGATCAATCAACACAGGGCAAACCCTCCAAGGCTGAAGGCACACCAATCCTGAGCCTGTGCATACCCCTAGACACTCCCCTTACGCTGCCCTATAAAGATCTGTACGCAGCGGCTTCGAACTGTCTTTGAGACCCGAGCTAACATGGGGTTAGCTTGTTAAACTACAATAAAGCCTCTAGCAATTTGCATCAAGCTTTGGCCTCCGTTCTGTGATTGGGGTGGCCGAGGTCCTGGGCTAAGATCCTGGAAGCCTGAGATTTCCGAGGGTCTTATAACATGAATATTCCTGCATATATGTGTGTGTACAGCATGCCCACGGAGATTGGAAAAAAAAGACTCCTCTGGATCTGGAGCTACAGATGGTTGTGAGCCACTGTGTGAGTACTGTAAATTGAACTCAAGTCCTCTGTAAGAGCAGCCAGTGTTCTTAACCACTGAACCATCTCTTCAGCCATAATTTTTTTTTTCTTACCTGCTATCTGACCTTTGGAATTCATGAATGTGGGTCAAACACTCTGCCCCTGAGCTACATTCCCTAGAGCAGTGATTCTCAGCCTTCCTAAGGCTAAGTAAGACACTTAATACATTCCTCATGTTGTGGTGAGCTCCGACCATAAAGTTTTTTTCGTTGCTACTTCCATATCTGTAATTTTGCGACTGTTAGGAATCATAATGTAGATATCTGTGTTGTCCTATGGTATTATGAGAAGACCCACAGGTTGAGAAGCTGCGCTAGAAGCTTGGGGAAAGAATGCGCCACAAGTAGGGACATAGACTTTCAGAATGCAAGCCTAGGTCATTGCTATTTTAATATAAGAGATCTGCATGTGAAAGGGATAGTAACTGTCAGCAGACTCTAAAGCAAATGGCAGTTAAGTACTTCTCAGATGCCAGAGGCATTAATCCACTCCTGGATAAAGGGCTTCTACCTTCTCCCACACCCCCTTAATTTCCCTTTCTTTCCTGCCACAATCAATAGGAAGTGCTGTGAAGTCATCCTGAGTTAATGGCAAGAGTTCTGTCTCAAAAAATGAAATAAATAATAAAATTAAGATAATGTGGGCATAATCACTTGAGAGCCAGGCGAATGGGGACATTTTGGTAGCCTATAAAATGAGTCCTAGCAGGGCAGTGGTGGTGCACGCCTGTAATCCCAGCACTCAGGAGGCAGAGGCTGGTGGATCTCTGTGAGTTTGAGGCCATCCTGGTCTACAGAGGGTGTTCCAGGACAGCTAAGGTTGTTACAGAAACACTGTCTCGAAAAAACAAACCAACAACAAAAAGAGGAGTCCTGCAGTGTGTTAAGGTGGAGGTTCCACTCAAGCCCCCCTCCCCCATCTCCTCCCAAACCCTGCTGCATCTCCGAAAGCCCGCCAAATGATGGCCCCTCCCCCCAGAGATGCTCAAGACCACTCCCACAGGGTATTTAAATTGTCCCCCAGAGAACAGACTTGTGTTTTTTTCTGGTCTCCCTTTCCTGTCTTCTCTCTGGTGGCCTGGAAGGCCAGGTGGAAGCGTTGTACCCATTAAATGTGGACTTTTTATAATTCAGTTTGATTTGGTTTGGTTTGGATTGCTGCATCGGCAGAGAGGCTTATTGGGGTGTAAACTTTTCACAGTGATCTTCACACAGGACAGCACAAAACTTCAGAAATAAGACTGAGACATGGAATACAGACTCCCAGGCAAAAATAGTGTTTACTCAAAATTTGTGTGATGACAGCCTATAAGCCACAGCCCCAGAGAAGCTAGGACTCTCTTCCAGAAACAGATGGAAGCAGATGCAGAAATCCACAACTAACCATTGGGCCAAGATCCTGGAGTACAATGGAAATGAGGGAGGAGAGATAATATGAACAAAGGAGTCAAGACCATGATGGGGAAACCCACAGATTCAGCTGGTCCGAGCTAGTGAGAGATCACTGGACTCAGGTCTGACAAACAGGGAACATGCATAAGACCAAACTAGGCTCCCTTAATATAGGTGGCAGTGGTGTGGCTGGGGCAATATATGAGGCCACTGGCCACAAACTGGTCAGTGGAGCCCAATCTATATGGAGAGATACCTTGCCCAGCCTAGACACAGGGGTGTGGGGGTTGGGGAGGTGCCTTGGTCCTGCCTCAGGAAGTCTACACTTAGTAGACTTCCTAGGTGAGGCCTTACTTAGAGGGGAGGAGAGGAGGGAGGAGGAATTGGGATTGGAATGTAAAATAATTTTTAAAATGTTTAAAAAAGTAAAAATAAAAAGTGTGGGATGAGGCACGAGGAAGAGAACTGACAGAGAAGTAGGTTGGCCTCAAAAGTCTGAGAACAAATGGTATTGAACAGGTTTCTGGAATATTCCAGGGTCTGAAATTTTCTACTCCTCATAAAGATGTCCCCAAATAAATTTGGTTTCAAGATTTGTTTGTGTGGGGTATGGACTAGTGGCGTGTTACACATGGAAACATCAGGCACTGATCTACACCTGGTGGGCTCTCTCTTGATGATAAAGAGTAGGAAGAAGTGGGTAAGGATTGTTCCTATAATGTTGACAGGGAAGATTTTACTGTCAGTGGGTAGCACCTTATAAATTAAGGACTTGGAAGCTTGTCTCTTATTTCCATGATACCACAGTCTAAGGTTCATAATACCTGTTCAGAAAACCTAAGAGACAGAAATTAGTGAAAGGATTTATTCAAAACCACTCCTGAAGAAAGTGGCGAAGACTTTTCCTATCTCAAAAACGCAACTTAGCGCAGGAAAAGGGACTCGGGAGTGGCTGCATGAATTGGCTCTCTCCTGTTACAGCAAAGAGTGGGATTTACCTTTAGGTGGACACATGAGATTGTCTCAGACTTGAAATTAATAGAGTTGGGCAGGTTCATAAGTTCCTGCCTGAGGAAGTCAGATTCACCTAGGGCTAAAGAGATAGGTGGATTAATTATCCCTTTAAGGAATTATATTTTCCCATCCCAGAATTCCTGATGCCCTAGCGTAACCCCTGTGAATTGTCATGAAGTTTGGCTGGGGTCTGCTCACCCTTCTGAGTCCTGGCTCAGAAAGGTGACTTGTCTTTTGCGAGCCATCCGCCATGGCGGGTGGGTGAAAGACCCGAGCTAACATGGGGTTAGCTCGTTAAGTTACAGTAAAGCCTTGTGCAGTTTGCAGCAAGCTCTGGAATCCGCCTGGTGATTGGGGTGACCGAAGTCGTGGCCTGGGACCCTGGATACCGGAGTTTTCCGGGGGTCTAACAGTCAGTCGTTTAAATACCATTTATATCAAGGGATCCACTTCAGAATCATGTGGCAGCATATGTAACTGTTTTATCTTTGTGTGTGTATTTGTGTGTTTCTTTGACTCTCAGGTGTTTGACATGTTTGAAGATTTCCAGTCTCATTCTTCTAAGCCGGTGGTCCTTCTGCCTGAGTCTCTGTGAGTTCTGGAATTTGTCATGAGCCCCACACCTAACATCATGTCCCCCCTTTTATTGAAAATATATTTTTTCTTCACATAACATATCCCCTCCTTTGACTCCTCCCAGTTCTTCCCCACTTCTGATCCCATCTGGATCCACTCCCTTTTTGTCTCTCATTAGAAAACAAGCAGACTTCTAAGGGATAATGATTGTGGTTGTTTGAAAGAAAATGACCTCATAGGTGCATAGGTAATGGCACTATTAGGAGATGTGGACTTGCTGGAGTAGGTGTGACTTTGTTAGAGAAAGTATATCATTAGGAGATGGGCTTTGAGGTCTCAGAAGCTTAAGCCAAGTCTAGTGGCTCAGTTTCTTCCTATCACCTATGGATCAGGATTTAGAACTCTCAGCTACCTCTCCAGTACCCTGTCTGCCTGCATGCCACCATGTCTCCCGCCAAGATGATAATGGACTAAACTTCTGAAACTGTAAACCAGCTCCAATTAAATGTTTTCCTTTATAGGAATTAGCTTTATCAGCTGGGTGGTGGTGGCATTATACCTGTAATCCCAGTACTTGGGAGGCAGAGGCAGGCAGATCTTTGTGAGTTTGAGGCCAGTCTGGTCTACAAGGTGAGTTCCA